ATGATGGAGTTATACATGTATAAAGAGAACTTTACGGCATTAACTTAGTTAATGTCGACTGTGTTGTTCACGGTGAATTAAACAAAGAATCAATTTTACACAGTTTTCCATAAACTGTCATATAGGAATCATCCAGCAGTTTCTTAACCCAGGCCATTTTTTGAGCTTGACAGAAAATGAAAGGATCTATGATGCGAAAACCCCCCAAAGAGTAATCTGTGTACATAATTTTCCATTTCACTCTACCAGTTCCATTTTTCCAGATGAATTTAAAAATATTTCTCAATTGTTTAAAGAATGAGGTAGGTATTTTGATACAAAGAGCACAGAAGAGATAAAGCAACTGTGGCAAAAGGAGAGATTTTATGACACAAATTTTCCCAATTAAGGACAGATATCTAAATCTCCAACTGTTAAGAGTCTGCTCAATGCTTTTTAACTTCATTTTATATTTTATAGAGAAATTAATACCCAGAGTTCTAAGTTGGGTTAACTTCCACACCAAACCAATAGTTGTGTTTCACTGTTGCTGTGGTAAAAACACGTGCTCAAAGCGCTGGTTCCTGCCCATGCAAGAGAATGCGTAATGGAGTCTAGCAACCAGTCTATTCATGCCGCGGCGATCAACCGTACAGTACATACGTGAACTCACGCATCGAAAAAAAAAAAATCGACGTTGCGAGATTTCTTAAAGTTAATTCACAGAATTTGGTATATATTGTCTAGGTGTGTATTTTCTGTGTTCATGAGTTTAATTTTAGGTTGTTTTGCTCGTACTTGATGCGAGCATGTTTTTTTACAAAATTTTCTGCCGCGGCGCTCGAGGTTTATCCGATCGCTGGGGCACAGCTGTCTTGATACATCGATAATTACCAGAACTTGTGCTCTTGTACTTGAACTTGTGCGCTTGTGCCTTGTGAGGTACCTGAACAATGGAAGGTACCCCACAAGGCCAGTTTTGATCCTTGTGGGGTACTAAAGTGGTACCCCACAAAAATTTCACGAAATAGATATTTCAAAGTTAATCAAGAAGAATTTTTAAGTGCCATTCATCTGTCGCAAATTGAAGTGTTTTATATAAGGGACATACGGTCGAAATTTCAATCCAGGAAACTGAATTTGCTTGAAACGGCAGTGATTTGAATTTTTTTCCGAGTTGTGTGGGAGTTTTGTACACGAGAACAAAGGAAATACCCCACAAGTATACATAGTAAGGCTGTGTGTACAGAACTGCGTATCGCTTTGAAATAACCCTATGTTAGTTCAACTATTATGTATTAACTTTCACCCTAATATAGACATTTTGTGGAAATCTAATCCTCCTGAGAATCTTTTGGGTAAAATAAAAACACTCAAGTTGCGGAATCTATTAGGACATGGGCCTTCTTCAGGGAAAAGGCTATTATTGATATGGGCTTCGAATTAACTGATTTCTCCTTTTTGGAAATTCTGTGATTTAGTAGACATTTTCGCTCTAAATCAAAGCTATACCTTTATTTTCCAGAGTGGTACCAAAAAGGTACAATTTGTGTTAAGGACTTGTTAAATGAACCTAAACCTAATCTTCTTTTATTTGAAGAGCTCATAATTTAGTATGATATTTCCTTTAAAGAAAGAAGGAAGTATAACACTTTGCTCAATTGTATTCCTCGTTATTGGTTTTTTGATAAGCAACTGAAGGGTGATGATTTAGTGACTGTGTTAAAATATAACCTTTTCATGTCGAAGAAAGTGTCTAAGCATACTTACAATATAATGACTGATAAACCCACCCCAGAAAAATAAAAGAATTTTTGGAATTGTACTTTAAATACAAACTTGGAAGATGAACATTTTGAGGTGATTCATACACGTAATTTTAAATGTTGAAACCAGATTAGGAGCTTTTTATTTTAAGATGTTTCATGGGGCTATTGCCTTCAATAACTTTCTTTTTAAAATTGGAAGAAAGGTTTTTGTGATAGATGTCCTGAAACTTTGATTTATATTTTTTATGAGTGTGATCAAGTTTCACCCATCTTGTCAGACCTCGATCGTGTCTTTTATCAACCAAAATCTATCTCAAAGACCCAATAGTTTGGGAAATTTGAATTCTTTTTTGGAGTTCCCAATAACAAATTTTTGACTTATGTTTTTCTTAGTACTAAATTTGATTTATATAGGTGTAAATTCCAGATCCAAATGCCTTCCTTTTTGGAGTTAAGTCTATTTTTACAAAATCAGTATCACATAGAATATAAGATTGCTATTAAAAATCAAACCCTTAGTTTTCATTATAAAAAATGGAAATTTCAATTTTAATTCTGTAAACCCTATGCAATTATTTCAAATGGACATGTACAGTGACCATCTTCCTACATCTCTTCGTAGCCCCCACTTTTTTCTGAAGTTTTTCATTTATACTTTCCATTTATCTCCTGTATGTTTTTTCAATCTCCTTAATTGTGTATAATTCGTGCTTTTTCTTTCTTATGTATCTTTTGCGTTTTTATGATCAATAAAACATAGAAAGAGAGAAAAAACAGTGAAACACAACTCGTGAAATTAGCAGAAGTTGCTTTTCAAATGTTGCAAATGTAACTGGGAAAACATGCCGGGTGTCGCCGAAAATAAGGGTTGGTCGGGAAATCGAAAGCATTGTTTTGGCAAGTTGAATTCTCCGACCGCTATTTGGGTACTCAAACGTCGACGTTTTTACTTCTTGCATCTAGTAGGCCGAAGCCTCTGTACAAGAACAAAATTTACGACAATCAGTGGGCGAAGTGGGAATGGGGCGAAGTGGGAAATGGGGCGAAGTGACCGACAGCCGCGAAATGAAGGCTCGCGTATACAGGTACGGTGGATCAGACCATGATAAGACATATTAGTACCAAGTCGATAATGGATTCAGTTGTGTTCCTAGACCACATAATGTGGTCTAACTGGCGGACTCTCTTCAGAAGGCTGTTTCCAACAAGGCCCTTGGTACTTTACATATTACTTTGTTATGGTAATGAAAAACAAAGACTTGATACCTAGTTTTTTCCTTGTTATAAACGTGTCTTTATATTGTCAGCCCTAAGTTATGGTTCGACTGTACTCGACTTCATTTCTGAAATACCCGACTTGAGTTTGTTCCAAAGTAAGTCCAAAAGTGCCTCAAGAACATTAAACAAGATGCAAAAGAGCAACAAAAAAATTATAGGACGTGTATTTCACTTCAATTTGGACGCTTTATTGTATCTTGGAGACAAAGTCTGAGCATTTTCCTACCTCCATGGTCTGAGACGGCGGAGGTGAAAAGGGGTCAAATAACTCGACCGTTGAGACAATTTGACCGCCCGTGCGTACAAAAGAGAGAAAATTCGACCTGTGAGACGTACGAGTCGTCTGTTGAGACACTTTGTCCGCTCAGCCCAGTCGTCCTAAAACGACGGTGTGAAAAACCATGCCTTAATAATGGAAAGGAATTTCACGTGGTAGATGGACAAGCCTAATTTCTGAGGTAAAATGGTAAGTCAATCTTTGCGCAATCAATCAAACTTGCACCCACGCTGACCAGCCATCATGTATTACAGTCGTTTTCCTAGTTCAGATTCTTCCTAGTTCCGAATCACTTAAAATAAAAACCTACAACCTTTGTATTATTCTTCAGTTCTACATTCTCAGACAGGCTCTATTTAAAAGGTGAAATGTAAACTTCTTGTTGAACAAAACTTGTTCTTGGAAAAGTTCTAGAAAAGAAATTTTGGCCAGATTTCTGATTCGCACTTTGACGTGACATTTTTCTCAAGAATTATGGTAGCGGAAATCGACAAACAGTTACAGGCGAGATGTTACTCACTACGGGTCCAAAATACCTTTTTCTCATACTCAACAATAATATAAACTTTTACATCTAATGTCTGTTCAAATGACTTTCAAAGTTTCTGTTTTATTAAAACTGGCCAAAAACTGAACGCCTATATTGTTTCCTAGTTCATAGCTGAGCTGAGCGCATAGTTCACTGGTCTTCGTCCCTCACGTTAGGGACACGTATAGCTGGCCGTGTTTTAATTAACGTGTGCGATTTTTTATTAGCCCTGTCAGTTTGAGTGCTAAATAGTTAACTTTTTGTGTAATGTTCTGACATGAATTAAGTTTCAGCTGGTAGGCGAATGAAACACAAGTAAATATCCCTGCTAAGCCTCTGTTAATCGCAGTGTAGTAACTTACAGTGCAATAAATCATTTCACGGCAATGTATTTCAAATCAGTAGTTCCTGTGTTAAATCCTAAATAAAAAGAAATTTTGATGAAGTTATTTTCTGTAACAAAGAAGAAAAAGCAAATATGCTATCAGCTACTGCTTGATCGTTTCCTTGTTTACATACACTCGGCAGGATTCTACCGGATTCATTGCGCGCTACCGGGTCCCTACGCATGTTCATGTTACAGGACAGCGCATAATTTTATTTTAGGGGTATCTCCGGGGACAGAGGCGAATAAAAAAATCGCGTGGCTTACCCCGATAAAATTTAAACGAAAAGTGAAAAACCGGAGGCGGCCAACTTCTTACAGAGAGTCAACAGGCGGCGAAGTGCTACTTCGGCCCGATTTTGCCGAACGAAAGAAGGTAGTCGGGTTCATCGGGTCTGGAAACCTAACTACTGTATGGATATGTTACGCCCCAACTATAGCATCAGTCCCAACTATAGTTGGGACGGTCCCAACTGTAGTGCTGCAGTTATACGTCGCGATGCATATGCCTCGCAGTTGGGCTGGCCCAACTATTGTTGACCAATGTCTGTGGGGAATGTCTCAGCATTATCCAAGTCAATGCGTCTCACACTTGACACAATTCATCTAAAATGTGGCACTTCATCGGTTCATCTAGCCATATGACCAATGACATGACATTTGTAAACAATACGACTTTGGCACATGCTGGGCACATCGTGCACACAGGACCTCTCTGCTGTAGTTGGGCCGGCCCAACTGTAGCGCTCTAGTTGGGACGGGCCCAACTATAGTTGGGACTGGCCCAACTATAGTTGGGACTGATGCTATAGTTGGGGCGTAACAGATATAACCTACGTTGCGGCGTTGGGCAGTCGATATACATATGTACATGTACAGGACGTGTACATGTACATGTATATGTACGTTACGCGTACCGTATGTCATCTTTAACTTTTAAGCTTAAGATTTCATGGAATTCGACCTTGAACTTCTTCCGGCAAACAGGTGAACAGCTATGACAAGAGGTCCCTATTTGTTTGGTCCGTCTGGTCGTGGTCTAGTGTAGTTTTATTCCTAGTGATCTGCCATTAATTTTGTTAGTCTCCCTCCATCATGATCAGTTGACAATGGTCGAACTGACGGTACGGACCGGCCATGCTGTTTAGCGTCAACAAGCGGAGCGTCAACACGTATCATACAAGTATGCGTCAATAAAGCGTCAACAACTCTAAAATACCCCCTAAAGATGGTCTTATCATAATTTAGAGACTCTGAGACCTGCCACTGTGTAAGTGAAACATCGAATTCTCTTCCAGACATGCCAGATTCAAGCAGAAAAATGAAACTTTTTCGCGATGTTGGCCTATGGAGGCCGCCATCTTTCCTTACAAAATTACTCCACCATCCGCATGAATACAAGATTTTCAGTAATGTGATACATTGAATATGATATGTAGGAACCTTACTTATAAAATTGTAAATATGAAATATTTGCATAAAAATGCTTGAATATTTAGTTGACGCTTTGTTGATGCTTAATAATAACATGACCCAACTCATAAGCCTTATTGTAGAAGCATGTAGTGATTTTGCACAACATTAAAAAGGCAGTTTGCCCCTTTTTCCTTCCAATATTGGCTTTCTACCATTGTGCAAAATTACTCACGCCCATCAGCAATAATAGGACTTATCAATCACACCAGCCACAGCATCATGACATGAGAGATGAGCATGTTTCTTACTCTCTAGTTTATGGCCTAACGACGTTACTAGCAACGTTAATAACAGGCTGTCAGTCACTTTGCGTGTTTCCACTTCCACGACGCCCTGTGCCACTTACCCCCTCCCCCATCGCCACTTTGCCCTATCCCCACATTGCCCCGCCACCACCTTGCCCTAGCCGGCTTAGGCTAGGGCAAGGTGGCCTAGCCAGTCTACTGGACTCCCTCCATATCCTAGGCCCCACAGCGGTCCATTGAAAAAGCGGAGACTCAGCAAAAATGCCTTCTAAACCCTTTTTGTGTGTATGATTCACGCACCCCATCAATACTCTGATGTATTACTTTGGGTGATTTCCAATTTGTAGAAGTCCGTGAAATTTTGGTTTTGATTTGGGCCATTCATTTACCACAGCAATTAACTCCTGATCATTGACCGATGCCAAACACAGTCGTGGTACCAAGTATGTTTAGACACAATAGACAGTGCATTTCTTTACAGGAAGAATTCACTACACTGTTGGAAACTCACAAGCATTAATCTTTAATGCGTGAATCCCTTTAATCATGTAAACCTTTTAATCACAGTAACTCAAAATATAAATGAAGGTAAGTATTTTAACTTGACAAGCTTCAACCCTTCCAACTCCACCGTCATTAAAACAATCAGATTAATGTTAGGTGTAAACATCTTAATGCCTAACCCTAACCCTCCCAAGTCCTCCAAATTCCTTTTATGTAAAGTGGAGGAATTTGGAGGATTCAGGTTGTATGGCAAAAGTGCATGGCTGATTTCGAAGAATGGCATACGTGAAGGTCGTGGATTCGACCTTATGTTGTTTGTGCTTAGTCAAGCGCAAATTTAGCCCGTTATTTCTTTTAAATCAACTGCACAGCTCAAGAATGCCATTCGCACTGCCACAACATTATGAGAGAAATTTCCGGAGGATTTTGCAGGATTTGGGCAGTTAGGCACACCTCCAAATGACATTTTCAAGAAATTTTGGAGGATTTGGGCTGATTGCAATTTTTTCATGTTGAAAATCAGAGGATTGTTAGGATTCAGAATGGTTCCGAATAAAGAGGCCGAGGGGGTTAGGGTTAAATGAACGTGTAATGCAGTGTTTTTGTGGGGAAATAATGACACAAGTCATTGGATGCAAAAGCTTGCCTTGGATTAGGCGACTCCTTACAAAAAACCTGGAAACCCACAGAAAACATGAAAAAACTACCGAACACAGAAAAGCAGGGACTAACAGGGAAACCCAATCTCGCACACTTGGATGCTATATGCAGATGTACTTTTGAAAGTGTCAGACTGCCACCTACCCTTTTCCCTGATTTGAGCATCCTAGTGTCCCAGGGAAACTTCATGGAATGCTGCCCCTATCTACACTGTGTAAATTGTTGGGTTTAAACCTACATGAATAAGTGTTGACCTCAGAGTCTCAGAAAATGTTGTCCAACTGACAGGCTGCCCATTGGGCCAGCAGTACAGAAATGCTGATTGGAAAGATGCTTGCTTTTCCAAGTACCAAGTGCTTACTACTGTACAGTACTTGAACCTCACTCAGTATTGGCATACCAACAATGTACTCTACAAGTGACTGAAGATAAAGTAACTGCTGAATTTGTTGTTTCATAGGTACTGTGTGCATTTAGTGGATCTTCTTGCTGGGCAAATGGTCAAGAAAAATGGGATTTGAAGTGGGACGTTTCCGCGGTGATGTGGATGAAGAGCTTATCTGCCCAATTTGTAGTGCAGTCTTAGAAGATCCCGTGCAGGCACCAGAATGTGAGCATGCCTTTTGTTCTGTATGTATCCATGAATGGTTGAGCAGACAACGCACATGCCCAGTGGATCGCAATCCCATTTCTTCCCAGCAGTTGAAGCCAGTGCCCCGAATATTACGCAATTTACTGTCTCGCTTGTACATTGCATGTGATAATGCCAGCTTTGGGTGTTCGGCCGTCATCAAGCTTGATTCCCTTCAGCAACATCTAGAGGAGTGTGAACACAATCCCAAGCGACCAGTCCAGTGTGAGCAAGGCTGTGGTATGGTCATTCCCAAAGATGAGCTCAAAACACACAACTGTGTCCGTGAACTAAGGGCTGTTGTCGAGGAACAAGCATCAAAGATAGGAGATTATCGGGCTGAAGTTGAGGATGTCAAACGCTCCCTGGCAGAACATCGCCATGAAATGCAAATGCTCAAGGATTACATACGAGCAATCAGAGTCTCAACACCAAATGCTAATCCATCAGTTCAGGCAATTGAAGATGAATTGGAAAACAATGAGATAGTGCGGTGGGTCAACACAGTTCCCTTAGCAAAGGTCACTCGTTGGGGAGGCATGATCTCAACCCCAGATGCTGTACTACAAGCTGTTATCAAGCGATCTCTCCAGGAAATCGGCTGCCCACCCCACCTTGCCACTGAGTTAATGGAGAACGCTCATGAACGCAATTGGCCACATGGCCTGTCGACTCTGGAGACACGACAAATGAATAGACACCTGTATGAGCGTTATGTTACCAGGCGTATACCAGGCAAGCAGGCAGTACTTGTCATGGCATGTGACAATGTACACATGGGGGAAGAAATGTCGCTTGAACCAGGATTAGTCATGATATTTGCACATGGCATTGAGTAATCTTGAACTGTTGAACGTACTGTCAGAAATTTGTCCTGTTATTAACAGTTGTATTTAATGTACAAAACATAACCTCTTTTAGTTGGCCAGATTTTTTGCAGTAATATGCTTGTCATGTTTTGTTTGTATGTTAATACTAACAGGCCACATAAATTTAACTGTAACATTTGTTGCTTGTACTTTTTGTCAAGGTCTACATGTACATGTACAGCAGCCAATTTCATCAAACATGGTATAACTTCACACCATGCGTAAGCCTTGTGCCACAAATTTGTGTTGTACACATGTTCATGTAGCTGTGCAGAATACTTTCTGTTAATTTACAAAAAGTTGCTTATTAGCTGCACATTTTGATTATTTCATGGGTGAATATGATTATCACTTTTATGACGGCTGTTCCTTAGCAGTGTTAGAGCACTTACCAAACAGTCCTTGAATTACCCCAGCCTGGCGTTTGAAAAAAGTTCTGTCTTTTCTCTGAAAAATCCCAGAGTTCTCTCACAGCCAAACAAGTTTGTCATTTCCTCAAAGAAACAAAGTAATTTTTCCTGTTAATTTTAAGTTGAAAATAATGATCCTTAACTAAACATGATTAAATGTAGTTAGTTACCAGTACAATGTACTTTCATCATCTTTACTTAGTGTTACACAACTTACTCTGTAGAATGATTGCATAAGTTATGCCATAAATGTGTTATACAAGTTACTGACTTACTGCATTAATTTCCTGAAATGTGTCATATTTTGTTGTACAATTACACATGTGACGTACAGAAAACGTGTGTAAGTGAAGTGACCCCATCATTTAACATTTCCTGACATTGGCTGCAGAGGTCTCATACATTTTACATGTAGCCTTTCACAAATACTACCCTGCTCATCAGGCCATGATGAGATCAACTTCTGAGTACACGTTTTGTGCACGTACACTTACACTGTACATGTACACCCCATACCGTGTACACTGTACACATGCATCCAAAAGTTATGGTATAACCCATTCTTTGGTTTAGCACTCTAACAGACTGGTAATTGTAAACTTCTTTACATTGTATGTTGTGGTGATTTGAATGTGATAAAACATACCTGTACCTGTGTACAGGTTCCTCGTGAAGTGCCCATTTTACAGGTAAAGTGGTCCCCTCCTTGAGTCCATTCCACTACATGTAGGCCATAGACCTGCTGCATGTACATGTATGAGATTGACCAGTGTGTAGTTGTACATTGTGTAGACTGTGAAAAAGCCCAAATATGTTGACCCTGGTAGAGTCGTTCACAAATTTGTTAATATCTTCAGTATGTGAGTTTATAAAATGTAAGTCTTATTCTGTACATAAGTTTATAAAATGTAAGTCTTATTCTGTACATAACTGTGTTGGTCAGTCTCATGACTTAGGGGGTCAGTCTCACAGATTTTCTTGAAATTTTCTGATTTTTTTTTTCCACAAAACTCCAAAACCTAATTTTTAGTGTTTTTGATCATGCGGTTTGTGAGATACCCGAACAGGTCATTGAATTTTTGTACCGTATATTGGAAGCACAGTGAGTGCACTTTGGGCTTTCTTTTGGCAAAATTTCAAAAAAAATAATTTTGCACCCTGCAAGGGATCAGAGGTCAATGTTCTGTTTGCCTGACCTCATTCCTGTATTCCACATGACATCATTATGGTCTTTTAACACACTGCAAAATTCCTTTGTGTTAAAATTTGATGCTACATGTATACAGAATTGCACTGAAGTTTCAACATGGCTGACTGTACAGTATGTTGGAATTTTAGCTGTCGCTGTGTGATTTGCAAACACAAGGGTTTCTCAGAGCTTTAATTTAAGATGTAATTCATGTCTACATACATGTACGTGTACGTACATGCATCTGTCACTTCTCTTGGGAGATACAGGTGTTCAAAGTCATAGAATTCATACAGATCAAAAGGTCAAAATTCAACAACTTTCCAAACCACATGACTTAAAGAACTACAATCTTGGTTTTAGAAGTTTCTCTTCAGACTAAACAATTGTAGCAAATTTCCAAAAAATCTTTGAGATTGACCCAGAAAGTGTTGGATTTTACATTGAATGACCCATAAAATGTATACAGAACTTCTGTGCACATACATGTATGTGGAAGTGTCCAGATGAATGTTAATGAAACCATTGATTACATTGCAAGTGCTAAGTCTGTTGCACAAGTCTGTTACCCAAATGTATGTGATATTAACAGCAGCTATGCAATGTGTTACTTGTACATGTTCATGTAAATGTTTGTATGTACATGTATACATGTATGTGAAATGAAATTGATGTGGCCACTTTGACCAAAGAAGAATATCTACTATAGCATTTACATTAGTTGCTTTTCTATGCATAGAGCATAACTGAATAAGGGTGGCAATTTGAGTGGATGTACATGTACATGTAGTTAATGGCTTAGAAAAATCACCATTTGAAGGCTTGTCTCATTTGACTTGAATTGATCTGCAGTGAAAAACCTAGTGCAAAGTAAATTGCCAATTTTTGTGAGGAAATGCATAGAGTTGATTTGAAAGCCAGTCAATAAGTTGTCACAGTTTGACTCAGTTAACAGCTTAATCAAAAGGTTTGATGATCTTAAGGTAAATTTGTACAAATGCTCAGTATCTAAGTATTTGTAATTCAAACCATTGCCTCTTTGTTGAATTAATGAATTTTATTTCATTTTCAGACAAATGAACCCTTAACTAGGAATGTGTGCATTTGGACTACATGTACATGTATCAAACTTGTATATTAATAAACCTTCAGGTTATGAAGCTGTTGCACTTAAAGTTGATCCGTTCAAATCACGTTGGGTCATTGGTCATTTTACGAGTAACTGGGTATGAACAAAGGCAACCAGGATATCTTCTAATTATACATGTAATTTATCTGAATATCTACGCGTGACTCTACACACAGGACTGCATGGCTTTTGGTACTAGTGATTGCATTTGAAGCAAGATATGGGACGGAGAGAACCCCCCCCGCCTTTGTGTTGGTCATTGTTTGATCAGAATCTCAGGAATTCTTTACAGAGTTCAAGGGGGGGTGTGTTAGGTAACAATAGTCTACAGTGTGTATAGGGATTGGACAGGTAAGGGGGGGTACCCCTCCGTCTCATACATGTATCTTGCCTGGTATAAGTGATTGACTTAAACTGAACTTCTTACCAAAATATTCAGTCCTGAGTAGTAATAAAGAAACAATCAACTGACAGAGGTTTGTCAAACTTATTGATTGTGGATGGTAAACATGCATGAATCTTTCATTATCAAAGGACGTGTGTACCGGTAGCTTACTCGGTGTTAAGTTATGATGTCATCTACATGTATTATATCACTTTGCTCTTGGTGATTGACTAATAAATTGCACATGAATGAATACATTTATGAGGCTCATAGGCACTAGTAACTTCCAACCACTTACAATCTTGATATTGTCCTTATTCCTTTGTTAACATACATGTGTCATCCATTGTTCAACTTTGAAACATTCACCATAGCTTTAGACACTTATATCGTACCAAAGTATAATGTAGGCTTTTGCCTCCTAGATATGTTTAATTTAAAGTCCTTTATTGTGTTAACACTTCTTGTTGTTAATCTGTTATTAGCTCCTGAAATAGAGCGCACTTGCTTCATTTTAGAGAAATGTTGTGCTGTTCTTAAAGTACATACATGTATACTTCAATCTTCCATGCAAAGTATATCAGCAAATTTCATACATATATGCCTGCCATTATGTTTAACCATGAAATTAATATTTGTCTTGTAGCTGGCATCCATAGGTGTTGCCAGGCAGGAGGTTGACACCCTCCTGATCATTGTCATTTTGGCGATATAGGTGGTTGTGAACAGTGCCATCATGTAGAAAATATACATGTACATGTGTATTTATTTCCTCTTCACATTAAGTGGCCAGCTCACAGAGATGAAAATTTGTGATTCTAAAACTGACTCTTGAGGAAAATTTCAATTTGCACTGTACGCGTAATTATTCTCAAGATTCGAGAACAGAGTTTGTATTCTCTTTCGGAGGGTGTGGACCCTGAATGTAAGAGATGCTTTAGTACACTTTCTTTGCCATTCAGGGGTAATAGTGTACATATATTTTTATATTTTATCAGTGTTATAACAAGTCATTTCAAGGAAGTGACTTGAGTCAAGTCAGGTCAAGGACAGGTTGAGTCAAATTTATGTTTGAGTCAGTTTGAAACAGGTTTTTGAAGAATATCTATTAATTTAGTCCAAGAGGTAGTTACTGGGCTGTGAGTCAGTTATCAGTAGTGTAGCAGGCAGGACTTGTTGGTATGCATCCACAACCCTTAACTGATGTGATCTGTGAACACAGCTGGGTTTGAATTGTAGTGGTTTATTTGGGCTGCAAGGGTGAGGTCAAAAGACATGCAACTTCGTGCAAGGAGGCAGAAAGTTGGTATCACCAAAGCAAATGACAATAAGAAAAGGGAAACTCCTAAGTACATTGACACAACATACAGGACTGTTCAAATTACAATACACAAAAAACAAAACCTCATAAGGGAGTTAGTATACTGTTCTGTAAGTTTATTAGATCTTTCACTTGTCTGGAATTCAAAGCTATATTACATGCTGAATTCTAGACCAAAATGTCTTGTGCATTGATAGACCTTTTGTCTTTAACCACTCACGAAGAGTCAGAGGACTGAGTTAAGTCTAATCCCAGCAAGCCTAGTAACTTCACATTTCTTCAACAAGGTACATGTAACATACTCTTATAAAAGCCATACACTACACTAAGTTCTTTACCAAATCCATTACACGAGAAGTTAGATTTGTACGACCAAACTTCTTTCCATCTTTCTCCGAGCAAAACTTGATTTATCTACAATTACAGGCTTTACTAAATCATGAGGATGCTATTCTAACCTGAGCCTACAGAGGTGGACGGAAGAGGAGGCCACGTAGAATGCATGCGTCATATATTATCAGGAAGCATAAAGACGTACTCTTCACCAAAGATCTTATCGCGCCCAAAGCAGTGCAAGATGGGTAACGCTGCCAAAAAGGTGTAATTACTGTGGGTGCCATTTGAACAAACTATACGCCTGCACAGTGGATGTACAGGGGCAGCCGTGCACGCGCGTACCAGGTATGCGTGCCTTGCGCAGCGTCTGTACATTAACTAGACTTGAAATCAAGCCGTAATTTGCTGGATGTGGTCCACCTTCTTCGCGATGTGTACGCTGTGCGGTTCGGCAGCAATTTAATAACACGCGGGAAAGGTCAGTGCAACCTCGTTCCCCAATATGGGTGTCCGACTGTACCCAATTGAACATTTTGCAAGCCCTTTTGTGCACAACATATGGGCTTGCTACCAAAATTGGATGAAGCACTTTGATTGGTTAAGAATCCTGATAATATGAATATTTATTTCAGTTGCAACTTGATTGGTCAGTTGAACGTTTATTAACAATAACCACAGTCTCGTTCATTGAAGGTGTTTACATTATCCTAAAAGACGATTTGAATAAAAGCATTGATTCTCACCAGAAAAAGATGAAATAGATTGTTAACAGATTTCTTCTTGAATAGTTATGTATACTTTTTCTCTAAGCATCATATTAAAATGGAAATTAATGCAAGATATGAAAGAAACTGGCACTAATCAATGTAGACATCGCTATAAATAACGGATGAGTCTTCTGCAGCGTGATCTACTCATTGGCGCTCAACATGGAAATATATGAATCATGCAGTTCAGTTGTTGCATAACATGAAAATCTATCCAGAATCAGGTTGATCACGTCGTACTTAAGGCGGCTACAGGGGTTGTAGGCCAACGTGTATGGGCGGCCAAAAAGGCCAAAATTATTTTTAACAAAAATAAACAATACGAGCATCTAAAAAAAACAATTTAAATCTAAAAAAAACAATCACGAAAACCATTTGAGAAACAAATTATTAAAAATTTTAATAAAAAAAAGAAAAGTTACGTCACAAAAAAAAATTCACCAAAAATGAATAATCACGGGAGAACAACATTTTCTTATCAAAATGTATGGTAAAACAAAAAACAAACTCTAAAACATTTATAACAGAAATAATTCAAAAAATAAATAACCAACATCTGAAAACAATATGCCCCAAATAGTTCCCAAAGTGAAAACAGTAAATGAAAATACAAAATAATTGAAAAAAAAAAGAAACAAAATTGTCCAAACCATAGGTCGCCAGCAGTTCTTGAGAGAGATGTTCCTTGTCGCAGACGTTGTATGCCCTGCAAACAAGTGCCCAGTTAAATAAAGACTTGATCTTGGGTGATGGAACGAAGCGCTGTGGAGGTATGTATCTGTATGAGTGGGTTTCCAGTAGACTTGGCGGGCAAGACAGCCATCCTGGTTTCTGGAAACCTGAACGTCAAAAAATGAGAAGTTGCAATCCTTTTCTTGCTCTATGGTGAATTTTGTGAGCTGATGGACTGGTGTAAATTCGAATATACAGTTCGCATATAAGTTCGGAATGTACCATTCTAAACGGGGTTTTGAATTTGATGTACGTTTTCGTGTGTATTCACAAAGTAGTTAAAATAAATAATTATTGTTTTCTCAGGTTTATTATTTTTATTGTAAGGTTTTCTGTACGTGTGTCTTTAGTAGGCCTATGTAGGTTTATGTTGAAATAAGAACGTGCATAAAATACGTACAAAGAAAAGGAACACCACAAACCATATTGATGACAGAATAAAAATGAAATAACCAAAAACACTGTCCCACCCTGCAGCATGATGGATGCATTCACTGGAAATGTATGGATATGGAATAAGTTTGAATTAAAATTCTGGCATAGTTTGACCTTTCCGATAGAGGAGGATGAATAGGAATGAGGTTAAAGAGAATAATTTGCACAAGTAAATAAAATATGATAATTAAAATAGAAAATGAGTCATCTTGTATGATGTCATGCTGTGGTGGTAGAATACTGACTGGGCACTTCGGTATTAAGTGAGCATCGATCTCAGACAATCCCCAGACAAGGAAGGGAACCGTGCGGTAGGTCGTGTGTACTCCGGAGGTGAGTGTCGAGTACTTCGGAAGCGATTGATACAATCAAAAGAACTCAATCATCGGACCAATGTGGGTGGTAATGGGGTATCTAAAGACCAATCACAATGGCAATTCTTAATTTCACCTTTTATGAAACTTAATTATATTTAAAACAATCTATTACGTAAAACTAGATAAAGATGCTATTGACGTCAAAAGTACTACATATGTAGTTGAAGTCCCCCTCATATCAACCAAACTGAAAACAAAAGTCGTCGGGAGCATCCAACAGAAGCCTGTTTTGATGACGTCATAATAGCGCTTCTCCAAGAGTTTGCAACACGTTGACCAATCACAATGCACAAAATCTGTCTACCCAATGTGCGTTTGGAAAGGTTCGACAGATTTTGGGCATTGTGATTGGCCAAGGCGTTGCAGAATCACCCGTGTTAAAGGTCTATTTCATTATTTGGGGGCGAAAGTGACCGCGTACTTGCTCGCACCTCACTGTGAATTAAAAGAGGTCGGACAGTGAGAGCGACTTGGAATTGCTTTCACATCGACAATCGCGGTTGATCAACACTGAATCATATGATTAAGTTCAACTGTCCCAATTTGAACCGGAGTAAGATTCTGATACATTTCAGGCAGATGGCCACAGTCATTTGCCAAAAATGACATCTAACTTGCTGTACCCGTTTTTTCTCTGTTCTGCTATCCGCCCGAGCTGAAGTGCACCCCCAGTCGGCGAAAGAAAGACATGTA